TCATAGGCGAAGAAATCGAAATTCTCACGATCAGAATTCAACTTTTGAGCAACTGAAATATCATATTCGGGATCAGGATCAAAAACTGAATTGGTTGATGTGTATTTTGAAGTTTTTATTTGATTCTCAGTTTGGGATGAATATCTCGCTAATTTTTCAATCGAAAAACTAGATAGATTTACAAAATTGCAACGTCCGTGCTCGACGGGCTTTTGACCTCGAAATTGATCAAACACTTCTTTCTTTTCATTTTGTAACGCTGAATTCGAAAAAGATTGTTGGAAAGCTTCAAAATAATCTAGAGGTGAAATATTAAAGATATATTGAACTTGAAGGATTTTTCGAGTTTTCGACATGAAAAACATATTTTGAAAATTAAAGATACATTTTCTTAATCAGCTCGATAAACTCTATCCAATGATGTATAATAATTTAAGACAGAAATTTTGTTTTAATTTTGCATTGTGCGCACCTTACTTCTATTGTCATACAGGCAAATCTGTACAAAGATCGTTTCTTGGTAAGGTTTTATGTAGAATTTGACGGGCAAGATCTTCTCTGATGCAAGTAAGTGTGTTAGTTTAAATAGTTTTTTATAGAGTAGGTAGATGGATGAAGTCAGTGCACATGGAATACATCGTGATAAAAAACGTTTAGAACAATTGATAAAAGATAAAATAAGGAGTACTGTGAAATAAAATGTAAAAGGAAGTGATAAATAGAGAATATATGAGGTGAAAAGTTATTATCTGTTTTACTCCAAGGAATAAACTATCTTCATTTAGAAAATATTTGATCAGGTAAGGAACGTGATGGCATTGCACATACTAATATATTAACACTCTTTTTTGCGCAATTACATTACAAAACGAGATTGAGAGTAAATTCCTCTTCCACTTGACTAGTACCAATGTGACGAGACTATCACGACCAATCCTGGGAATTCTCAATTTACAAGGTGTTTAATTCTGCACCTTGCAAATTGAGAATTCTCAGGATTGGTCGTGATAGTCATGTCACATTGGTATTAGTCAAGTGGAAGAGGAATTTATTCTCAATCTCGTTTTACTTAATTCAAAACTTCCAGTTTATCACCAAATTACAGTAATAACGCAATAAATGTTATATTATCAGCCATTCTCATAACACTAACCTCTGACGAGAAGAGCAAACTGTGTTTGATTTTCTTGATGAGGACGTGATGTTGTCAAAAAGTGTCAACTGCCAATCAGTGAAACATCGGTAGACGGTTTAATAGATTTTTTCTAGGATGAACGATAAGAAATCATATATTGAGAATGGGAAGACAATCTTAGATGCACTTGAACAAGGTCTTACCGTACTTTGCGAATTCTCAAAAGCTCTATTTTCGTGTTCTGACTTGATCTATACAAAGGAACTTGCAACAAGGGAAAATTATTCATCCTATGCGAAATACCGATACCGACCTGCGTCATCTGAAAGACAATCAAATAACGTCACCACATTCCCAAAAGAGTCATCGCGTTACCTTACCTTTGATCTGTAGATCAATAGACACATTCTTGGCTAAAATTTCAATCAAGTGTTTCAAAAGCTTTGCGTTATAACTAAAAATTCAGTATTGGATATTCTCATCAATATTGACTACATTTAGAAAAAATCATAACTTTTCAACGGCTCTTAAGAACTTTCATTTTTGGTCATCACGTTACTGTAACCGACTGTAAAAATGCTATAGTATTCGAAGGATACATAGTACCTCAAAACATGTTACACCAAATAAAGAAGCCATAACCAGAAATACTTCAGCTGTGTAGCATCTGTTTTCAATGTTTTATCTGATGGAGAAATTATTGCTCTATAATGCACATTGTATCTCATTTACACCCGTGGTTGAAACGAATGATTTAATCCGAATTTTTGAAGTTCAAAAAAGAATCAGTTATTTTTTCTTGAAGTTTCATAACTAAAACTGGAAAAAAGTAATCTGTTCTGTACAATTTTTGCATGCTCTTTCTACTTGTATACGACCAGGCATGCAATGGTTATTTTATCGGAGCACTTGGGGGCAGTAGTTTTAAAAATCGACGAAACCTTCTAAAATTATTTTGAGTCGACAGTTTTGCGCACAAATGTTTGCTCTACAAAATAAGACGTTTCAGACTTTCTCACGATGGTTCATCCTTGAGATATGAATTTTTTTCTCTAAAATAGGATCGGTTATTAACCGCTCAGTTTTTCAGGTAAAAACTTTGTATGTCATCGACGAACCATTGTGGAAAAGTCTGCAATGTCTTATTTTGTAGAGAAAACATTTGTGCACAAAACTGTCGACTCGAAAAAGTTTTAAAAAGTCTTTGCAATTTTTAAAATTACTGCTCCCAAGAGCCCGATAAAATAACCGTTGCATGTCTATATACGGCATGATTTTATAATCTTTCCTTGATTTTATCCTCATCATATTATATAGCACAGGTGATATCGTGTGATATGGATCAATGTAATGGAGAAAAGTCACAACTCTTAATTTATTCAACTGTTTGTCAGCTTAGCTAAATCTTGGGTGACAGATAAGTGAAAAAACACTTTTTATCTCGACGAGCTGCTATTTTGGAATCTACTAAATATACTATAAACATAATTGTGAAGGAGAGATCAAAATTACACCTGTGATATTGTCCATGAAGTAAGAGCGAGTCATTAAAGGTAAAATTATTGCTTAGCAAAGCGAAAAATATCAAAACATGTATAAAACGAAGAATCACTAGTTTCTGTTTGTGCATTTTTTACCTTGCAGCGGGCACAAAACAAAATATGTTTGAATATTTGGATGATGGTGATACACAATATGTTTCGTTTAATTGTGGTTGGATCCAATTACAAGATCCTTCGAGAATTGAACAATTTCTTGTTGAGATGGCACCATCTAAAATTAACGATTCCATGGGCTTTAAATGGATATCCGTGTACAATCCATCGAAAGCGGAAAATTATGAAATACCAAACGTCAGTGCCCTACGTCAAGAATATCAACAACTACGACAACTCAATTTATTCCAAATAGAGCGTTTAGCAAGAAAATACAATGTGTTGAGTGGAAAATGGATGTGTTTTGTGCCAACATCACACGTTGACTACGTTTGGTCGTGTATTGCTCGTGCTGTTGTCCAAGGCCGCCTCGGATATTTAGCAAAAGTAGCCGTATCCCAACGCGGTGGTTCAGTAATTCATGTTATCTGCGTCTATACAAACAATTACTTGGATTCGGTAGAAAGAAAGATTATAAAATATGAGTTGAAAAATATTTTAATCGAAGCGAACACGAATGTTCGTCGACTGTCGTACAAACCTGATATTTATACACATCTGGGTATTTATCAAAATCATCCTGTTTTTTCTGAAACTATTGACTGGATAAGATGGTGATTGTTTAAAAAATTGTTTACAGTGAAAATAAGTACTACAAGACAATAGAGTTATAAGAAAATAATGTATAAATAAATGTCTATTATATTCAAATTTGAAGAGTTCAATAACATTCATTCCATGTATGCAGTAAAAAACAATGAAAATGACTATGAAACAAAGAAACATTAGTTTTTTTCTTCTCTATGTATCGAAATAGAATACAATAAGATGCGAAACAAACGTCAGTAGAGATATATCTCAGGTAAATGTATATCTCTATTTAACTGCTGGGGACATATTGTGTTTTTACAATATCTCGCACTTTGATCTTGATTGCTAACAAATGCCTATTGTTTTCAGTTCAAATATTTTGTTTTCAGTATATCACATTTTTTTAAAAGAAATGTGTTTTTGGGTGATACCACTTTCGTCACGTTAACTTTCATCACACGTGACGAAAGTGTATGGCATTTTTTAGGTAGTACCTTCCCACACTTTGCTCACCAGAGTGGTGAAATTTCGTAACCAGCTGTGTAACATACATATAACTATCGTCACACCCAATCGCGAACTTTCGTCACAACTCAAAAAGAACTTTCGTTACACTAATAACAGAACTGCTTAGATGCAGACTATTCCAATTTCGACTGCTGCAGTGTGGACTACTTCAAACCGAACTACTCTCAAACGCAATAGACGCTTAATTTTGATATTTTGAGTTTAGAAAATGACTTCAGAAGGGTTTTTTACGCGTTTCACCAAGAAAAAGCAATGTTTGTAGCATAACTAGTGTTGAATCCAAATAATATTTAAATTGATTTGTTATTTATCGCAAGGTCGAAACAAAGATTGAAAATGATTAGCCCGAGGTGCAGTACAAGGCTCTACAGATACTGCTTCTTTGGTATAGGGTAATCGTGCAAACTCGAAATAAAATAAACAACTACTATTAACGATAATAGAACGACTGAAACAGAGATGCAGATAGTCGGGAGCGTAAGAAGAGAAAAAGTAAGAATGGAATAAATCTGAATTTGATTCTATCAATGAATTGTGTTTCGAAAATTTTCGTTGATTTTCATTTATTGGTCGAAGTCTCACGAACTCTTCAACGTGAAAATTTCGTAAAAAGCAAAGGTTGTCGGATAGGGTAATAAGGTACATCATTCTACTGAATTATGAATCGGAATTCTGCTTGTACTTTTCAATTTTCTCCACCAGAACACACTTTTTATGCAGTAAAAGTAACATATTCGGAGTCAGCGTCGAAAATTGAGTCGAATGACGTACCCTTTTACCCTATCCGACAATCTTTGCTTTTTACGAAATTTTCACGTCGAAGAGTTCGTATGAATGAAACCCAAATCAAATAAATGAAAATCAACGAAAATTTTCGAAACACAATTCATTGATAGAATCAAATCCTGATTTATATGGACAAAACTTCGTGTTACATTCATATATTATCTTAAGAAAATTATAGAGATCGAATTGGTTCACATTCGAACTACTGAGTAGCCCAAAATGAACCATTTTCAATTAGATGTGCCCTAATCGCACCCTCCTGCTTTCCAAGACTTTTACTTAAACAGATCTTTTTGGCTCATTCAATCTGACTAATGATATTTCTATGTATTTTTTTTCAAGTTACATTGAATGGTTATTTCCATTACAAGAACAAGGATTGAATTGGTCTGCTCAATCATTACAAAAGGATGAAATTAGCTTAATAATAAATGATAGCAAAGCTCATTAAAGCTTGATTTTAGTATATTTTGTTTGTATAAAAGAGATAGTTGTCATTTAGTTTGGATCAGAAAAGGACTGTTTGAAGTTAATATGATCATGAGATTGACATAAGCTTTAACCTTTCAGAATAGAGGCAAAAATTCTCGATACTTAAATCAAATCACATATAAATGTTTCTACAACACAAAAGAACTGGGAATTTTCAGTGAGATAGAATGCTGAAAATAGTCTTACATGCATAGCAATCTCCCACCGAAAGCCTCAGTCAACTTCTTGAATTAGAGAAGACTAATATTACAGCGCTGAAGGTAGCCAGACGAGACCACAAAGTTTTGCTGTGAGAAGTCAAACGGCACAGGTTATACCTGAACGGGCAAGTCAAGGTAGTTAGAAACAACCTTGTGTAACTAAAAAAGTGAACTTTGGAGTAAAACTGCAATGAACAGCGCGGACCGAGTGAGAGTTTCTGGGTACCAAGGCTCGAAGATAGATTATTGGTAAACAAATTTGGTATTAACATTTAATTTGTCTAAATGGATATAACACAGTCTTAGATATACAAAGACTCGGTGTTTTCTCCACATTGTAAAGCAAATATCTGAAAACTTTTGCTAGTTTTCAACAAGACCTCATCCTAAAGCATAAGTTTTCAAGTGTGTTTGTTTATCATCATTTTTGGAGAAATCAAATAACACTTCTACGAGTTTTGTTCAGAAAACGACATCTTTTAAAATCAAACGAAGACAAATGCGGCTGTAAATAGAGGCTTCTTTTTCACAAACACATCGTACTCCCATTAATACAAAAACTCGTTAAAAATCGGAATAGATAAAACAGATTTACCGCAGTACCATTACAATGAGTATGGCAATTTGACAAAAAAGTATGCGGCCGCCAATGAGCCTGAATGCGCAAATACATTATCCGCTATGGGTACAACAATGTGCTATAGCTCATTATAGCCCTTTCAATTTTGCATTTTCCATGTATAAACTAAGTGCACTGACAAAACTATATCCATTTTATTATATTCAATGAGGGTTACATGTACGTGGAGCAAATAGTCATAGATAATGTTTGACGAATAACGCTATGAAAACATTAGTTTGAAAAGATGTGCTATATAACATTTTGCAGTCCGTTAATGCATGTTTTCCTGTATAAGACTGTGTTAAGAACGTCCAACTTGCAGAGAAAAATGAATAAATACGATCGAACAGGCTTTTTGGACTGATGT